TCTCTCTCTCTCTCTCTCTCTCTCTCTCTCTCTCTCTCTCTCTCTCTTGCTCTGCCCCAGTGAGCCCCAGACTGCTCACAGTCTGTGAGTTTGAGCCCCACGTGAGTCTCTGTGCTGACAGCTCAGAGCCTGGCGCCTCCTTCAGATTCTGTGTCTCCCTCTCCCTCTGCCACCCACCCCCACTCACGCTCTGTCTCTCTCTCTCTCTCTCTCTCACGCTCTGTCTCGCTCTCTCTCTCTCTCTCAAAAATAAATAAACTTAAAAAAAATCTTTTTTAAAAAAAGGATGGAAAATGTCTGCTCTAGAACTCAGTTAACAAAATTAGTCAGCCAAATAAAATTTTGTTTCTATTAGAAAATTCTGACCTTTAGTATTTTTATAATGTTTAAGTTCAAATGAATGAGTTAGTATGTATTCCTGTGACGATCATGTAACTTATTTTGTTCCCTCTATGAAATAAGGGACCATCTCCCCTTTAATATTTCTTTTTTTTTTTTAAGTTTATTTATTTTGAGAGAGACAACAGGGGAGGAGCAGAGAGACAGGAGAGCAAGAATCCCAAGCAGGCTCCGAGCTGTCAGCACAGAGCCTGCCACAGGGCTCAGTCCCACAATCTTGAGATTATGACCCGAGTGAAAATCAAGAGTCGGTTACTTAACCGACCGAGCCACCCAGGCACTCCTCCTCTTTAATATTTCTTATATAAACTCTTTTTGCTTTGCTATCTCCTATTTTTTAAGGGCATTGCCTTCTTGAATTGTTTCATGCCCTGTTGGTATTTATATTCCCGAACAAAGCACTATAACAGATCCAGGATGATTGAGAAGTGTGTCTTTCATTGTGAAGGAGAAGGGTAATTGTGAAAGGAGAGTTATGAAAAGAAGACAGACACATAGTATGCAGACACATTCACAAATCAAATCAGGAAGGAGTACATGTGTTAGAATCTAAAAATTAATACTCTTGGAGCACCTGGATGGCTCAGTTGGTTAAGCATCTGACTCTTGATTTGAGGTCAGATCATAATCTCACAGTTTGTAAGTACAAGCCCCACGTAGGGCTCTGTGTTGACAGTGCGAAGCCTGCTTGGGATTTCTCTCACCCTCTCTCTCTCTCCTCCCCTGCTCACGCACTCACATTCTCTCTCCCTCTCTCTCCAAATAAATAAATAAACTTATAAGAAAAAAAATTAATACTCTTAAACTTATTCATGCCTATGTACCACTGGAAAAATTTTGTATTCTCCTGCTGTAGCAGGATTCTCACACAGAGAGTCCATGGCACCGAGGCTTTTTAATTTCCAGAAAGCAACTTTATTCATGCCGGCACCACTCAGTTGGGTTCATACCCAAAAAACTGAGCACTAAACATGTAGCATAGGTTTTTTTATGCATTTTCTATTTCTTTGTCTCCCATATATGGTAACATACACACACATGTAGTCTGATTAAGTGTTCTCAGTTTACAACGTCATGAGGGATGTTGTCACATAGGCACATAGCCAGGTTACCTTGTTTTTTGTGGGTTTTTTTTTTTTCCTTTTCTCTCTCTCTCTCTTTTTTTTTTTCTCTCCTTAGGGAGGGGTCCCTACCACACTAACTTGGTCTAGGCTACAATATATGCATAGAAGTAAAATTTCACATTATAAAGTATAGACATCTTTGACTAAATGTTGCCAAATGGCTTTCCAAATATACACTTTAGCTACAGTTTATGAAAGCTGCAATTTCTCCATAATCTGCCAACCCTTTAATTTTACATTTTTGCCAATGTTATTATGAAATAGTATGTTGTTTTTTTTATTTAATCATTGGTAAGATTTAACATTTCATGTATTTATTTGCCATTCTACTTTCTTCTCTGAGGTGCCTCTTCATATCCTTTGTCCAGTGGGGTTACTTATTTTTTTCCATTGGGGATTATTGTCTTTTTCTTGAGTTCATGTATGAATTTTGTGAGTTCTAGTTTGTGGCTTGTCCATTAACTTTATAAGTTTTGTCTTTGTCACATGCTAGTTCTTTTAATGTTAAAAAATATATTAATGTTTTCCTTTATGGCTTCATCTTTTAGTATCTAGTTTAAAAAAAAAAAAAAACACTTCCTGGGGCACCTGGATAGCTCAGTCGGTTGGGCATCTGACTTCAGCTCAGGTCATGATCTCACGGTCTGTGAGTTCGAGCCCCACGTCAGGCTCTGTGCTGACAGCTTCAGAGCCTGGAGCCTGCTTAGATTCTGTGTCTTCCCCTCTCTCTGCCCCTCCTCTGCTCATTCTCTTCTCTCTCTCTCTGTTTTTCTCTCTCTCTCTTAAAAATAAACATTAACAAAAATTTTTTAATTAAAAAAAAACACTTCCTTATTACTCAAATATAGATATTTTATATTTTATTTGTAAAATACTATAGTGTTGCTGTTTTTCACATCTAGATCTTAAATCTGGAGTTCATATATTGACTAATTCATCATCTTCCATTGTTTTGAAATGAATCCTCTGTGAAATGCCACACATCTGGGGTGTGGGTGGAGTGGGGTCTTCTTCTGGGCTCTCAGTTCTATTCCACTGGTGTATTTGTTTGCCCTGCCCAATTCTCTTTTAGGTCCTGTTGCTTTAGAACTAGTTAAAATCTGGTAGGGCAACCCTATCACTTTTTTCTTCAGGAGTCTCTCATCTATCTTTAAGTCTTTATTTTTATAAATATAAATGTTATAATCCAGCTTGTTCAATTCTGTGAAAAGCCTTTGTTGGGTGTTTATTATAATTGCATTAAATATGTAGATTAATTTGTGTATAATACTGAATTTATTTTTTTTTTAATTTTTTTAATGTTTATTTATTTTTGAGACAGAGAGAGACAGAGCATGAACAGGGGAGGGTCAGAAAGAGAGGGAGACACAGAATCTGAAACAGGCTCCAGGCTCTGAGCAGTCAGCACAGAGCCCGATGCGAGGCTCGAACTCACAGACTGCGAGATCATGACCTGAGCCAAAGTCGGCCGCTCAACCGACTGAGCCACCCAGGCGCCCCTATAATACTGAATTTTAACGTCCACAAACATTTCGTTAGGTTTTTTATTTCCATCTATCCATAAAATTTTCTTTCTCCAGGAAATAGTTTAGTACATCTTTTGTTGGATTTATTCTTAAGTACTTTATAGTTTTTGTTAATTTTAAGAATGACATTTTTTAAATCACATTTCCTAATAGGTTGAGACTCATAGGTAGTAATGCTTTTGATTTTTAAGTGTTCATATTCTATCAGTAATCCTTCAAAACTCTTATATAGACAATAATTTATTATTCAGTATATTTTTTTCTGCTCTTTTCTCATTTTTTTTCCCATTGAGTTATTGCACTGGCATTGTCTCTGCTACAGTATTTATATAACAACATGCCCTTGTCCTTGAAAAAAGAAACAAGTTTAGTGATTCACCATTAAGTTTTGTATACATATACTGTAGATTTTGGAAGATAATCTTAGATTTAACGAAGGTTTCTCAACCTCAGCACCAGGCATTTGGGGCCAGATGATTCTCTGTTGTTGGAGGCTCTCATGTACATTGGATGTTTAGCGGTGTCCTAGCCTCCTCACATCTATAAAAACCAAAAGTATTGTCAAATGTTCCCTAGAGGGGCAAAGTCACCCTGATCAATTAAGAAAGGTGTTTTACATTCTGTTTGCTAAGAAAGAAAGAGTATTAAATTTATCATGAAAAAGTATTGAATATTTTTCCTTAAACATATCTATTTTTTTTTTATTTTTTTAATGTTTATGTATTTTTGACAGAGAGAGAGAGAGGGAGAGAGAGAGCATGAGTGGGGGAGGGGCAGAGAGCGAGGGAGACACAGAATGCCAAGCAGGCTCCAGGCTCCAAGCTGTCAGCACAGAGCCCGACGAGGGGCTTGAACTCACACACTGCAAGATCATGACCTGAGCTGAAGTCGGACGCTCAACCGACTGAGCCACCCAGGCACCCCAGACATATTTATTTTTTAATTAATTATTTATTTTTTAATTTATATCCAAGTTAGTTAGCATATAGTGCAATAATGATTTCAAGAGTAGGTTTCTTAATGCCTCTGACCCATTTAGCCCATCCCCCCTCCCACCACCCCTCCAGCAACCCTCTGTTTGTTCTCTATATTTAAGAGTCTCTTATGTTGTATCCTCCTTCCTGTTTTTATATTCCTTTATGCTTTCCTTACGTTGATCTGTTTTGTATCTTAAATTCCCCATATGAGTGAAGTCATATGTTATTTGTCTTTCTCTAATTTCGCTTAGCATAAGGGGTATTGAATTTTAACAAATGCTTTTTCTATGTCTGCTGAGATTTTTCCCCCTTTGTTATTAGAAATTAAATAAATTAATATAGTAAATTACATTATTATTCTAATGTTAATCTCTTTACAATTTTATTAACATATGATAGTCTGAAAATTGTACAATGATACTTTTTTCATTTTGTGGGTGGGATGGTACGGTGAGAATTAAAATAAAACAACATAAGTTAGATCCCATATTGGAAACTGAATTTTAACTGCTATCGTTAAAGCTTATTTTAACTATCTTGTAATACAATTTGCCTGTTTTATTAGTCTGATTTTAAATAACCTAATTTGGGGTTTACTCTATTACTTTGAATAATTAAGTGTTATGTGTACTTTTTCAAACATAGAGAAATCACTTAAGTTTATTGGATGATTAACTCATTTATTTTTTTTTAATGTTTATTAATTGAGAGAGAGAGAGAGAGAGAGAGAAAGAGAGCACATGTGCACGTGAAAGCAAGCAGGGAAGGGGCAGAGAGAGAGCGAGAGAGAGAATCCCAAGCAGGCTCCACACTGTCAGCATACAGCTGGACATGGGGCTTGATCCCACGAACTAGGAAATTATAACCTGAGCCAAAATCAAGAGTCGGCCGCTTAACCAACTGAGCTACCTAGGCACCCCGGATGATTAACTCATTTAAGTGTCAAATTAATAAAACAGAATTTGATAAATGCTTCAATAAAAAATGTATTTGCCTTAATTAAATGTATAGCAAAGGAATAGGATTTAATTATTTGTAAGTAGTGGGAAATCAGTGGCAAAATTAGATGTGATTATTCATTCAGTTCTGTATGTTAACATTATCTATTGCTGGTCTCATGATGGAAATAGGCATCATCACCTTAAGTCCAGCTGCCATTTTCTTTTAAAAAATTCTCTTAGAACTATATTTTCATAGTCTGGACTAAACAACTTTTCTGGTGGTGGTTTTAGCATTACCATGGAAATGAAACCAAATAAAAGTGGGACTACTGTGATGATTTTAGTAGACTTAAGTGGGGTTGGTAATTCTATCAATAACAGGTGGAAAAATGACATTTCCAATCATAGACCACAGGTTGACTGGGTTTAGGTAACAATTCGAGATAAATTTTGTAAAAACTATTTTAAAGAATTTTGCTTAGGCCTAAAATAATTTTTCACTTTTTTTTTCCTCTTATAGTCACGTTCTGTATCTAGTTCCCCTGTGATGGTAGCTCAGCCAGTTTATCAGCAACCTGCGTATCACTATCAGGTAAACATGAAATTACAATTAAAATTCTCTTTAATACCTTCAGTCCTTTTTGGGTAAATTTCATTGTATTCTTTCTCATGCAATAACTCTAGTAATTAAAATGAGATACTTAAGCCTTGATAACAGTGGGGTTTTTTTTTTCTTATGGGGAACTAAACAATATCATACAAGAAGGTAGAATGTTTGCTTCATTTAACCAAATGTAATGAGGTCAGTTTTGCTCCATTTGGCTAACATTTAATCTAAAAAGTCTTTAGAAATTCCCAAAGCAACATACAGATAACACATTCAGGGTCACAGGCTAATTTTTTAATGTTATTGTTAACATTATATTACTTCCTTGCTATTATATTTAACATAATCTATATTAAAATAAGCCTCTTTTAGTTAACCAACACTCTTCTGTTAATTCTGTGGGAGATTGGTGATAAGTGATCCATAATGCCAGACTATTTTGGTGTTTTGCAAATAAAGATTTGTTAACATATCTTGTATTTGTATTACATATCTTGTATTTGTTTACATACTGTCTCTGGCTGCTTTTGTACTACAATGACAGAGTTTAGTAGTTCTAACAGAGATACTATGGACTGCAAAGCTTAAAATATTTACTCTCTGGCCCTTTACTTGCCAACCTCTGATCTATAGCATTCACAAATCAAATCACATTCTTTCTTACTTCTGGAATATTGGAAGAGAATTTGTTTCTTTTTTTTTTTTTTTTTTAACTTTTAAAATACACCCACATCAAGTGTTAAGTTTACTGGAATTCTTTTTAGTATTAGACTCAGTTTTGGGAGGGAGGGTTATTTTAGATAGAATTTAAAATTCAAATTTATTTAAATTGGTTATATTATCATATGTTAATGTATATTATATTTTTTTTAATGTTTATTTTTGAGACAGAGACAGAGACAGAGTGCAAGCAGGGGAGGGGCAGAAAGAGAGGGAGACCCAGAATCCAAAGCAGGCTCCAGGCTTTGAGCTGTCAGCACAGACCCTGATGTGAGGCTCGAACCCACAAACTGTGAGGTCATGACTTGAGCTGAAGTCTGGCACTTAACCAGTTGAGCCACCCAGGCACTCTAGTGTATATTATATTATTATGCTATATTGCTTATTTTTAAATAAAGTTATCAATTCTATTAGCATGCTAAATATAAAATATCTAAAGTATTTCCTTCATTTACTAAAGATGAAAATAACTTAATGGCATATATTTAAAATACATATGTGGTATCACTTTTTCTAAGCTGCCTCAAAAGTTTAGCAGAAGCCTCAAAGACAAAACATTAGGTACCGCAGCTTTTAACACGACCAGCCAAATATTGTGAAACCAGTTTGAGGACCCTTAGCTTATTGTCCACCTTGAACACAATGAGGGGAAGCTGAGATTGCTGAGGGAGATTGGTAGCAAGGTTTTCTTGAATAAAAGAATTGTTAGAATGCTATGGCATTTCCCCTTCTTCTCAACCAAGTAAAGAGGACATCAGAGAATGACTAAGAAAGCTTAATGCACCTGACTTTGGACTAAAAAAGTCCAAAGAAGCAGCTGAACTAGTCTCTGGAGGCAGAGCCTGGAGAGAAGGCTACAGTGGGAATGTGTTGAACTTTTACTCACAACAAGAAAGGTTTATATGTCCCAAGAGCAAGATGTGAACCTCACAGAAGAGACCCTTTTCAAAAAACTTTAAGATGACCCCAATAAAGAAAGAATATGTGTGAAGTAGACTTCTAGAATCAAGGGCTGGAAATGTAGTTAGAAGTTCTCAGCAGGGAGATCACCAAAGAATCCAGTAAACTACCTAACTAGAGAGTCCGCATTTGGAATCTGCCACACCCCAAGAAGTGCTCTGTCCAAATTTTTATCTAGGGTCAAGGAAGAAAAGCTCAACCCAGTGCTTTTAAAGTGTCAGGGGGTGAGAAAGAATGCTACATGTCATATATATTTTTTTTAATTGCCTAATTCGAACCCACAAAGATTTACACATATTTTCTTCTAAGAGTTTTATAGTTTTAGCTCTTACATTTTTAGATCTTTGACCCAACTTGAGTTAATTTTTGTATATAGTTTGAGGTGTAGGGATCCAACTTCATTCTATTTGCATGTAGATATCCAGTTTTGACCCCTGTTTATAATGTGGGTGGGTTTGTTTCTGTTTTTCATTTTAGGCCCCTGCACAGTGCCTACCAGGACAGTGGCAGTGGGGCGTTCCTCAGGTAAATATTAACTTTTTTAATTGTATTTTTATGAAGACTATATGAATATTAAGGTCAGGAGAACTAGATTTGAGATGTTCCTTTTCTATTTAGTAACCGTGATACCTGTGGCAGTTTGTTTAATTACTATATTTCTTAGCTTCCCCATTTGTAACATGGAAGTAATGATACCATACCTTTGTAAGTTTCTTTACCTGATCTTTGTGAAGATCACATGAGATCGTGTTAGTGAAAGCATTTTGTTAAAAAGTGAGTACTTACATAAACATGCAAAATTACTTTTTATTATTTTTTTTTATTTTTTTTTTAACGTTTATTTATTTTTGAGACAGAGAGAGACAGAGCATGAATGGGGGAGGGTCAGAGAGAGAGAGGGAGACACAGAATCTGAAACAGGCTCCAGGCTCTGAGCTGTCAGCACAGAGCCCAACGCGGGGCTTGAACTCACGGACCGCGAGATCATGACCTGAGCCGAAGTCGGCCGCTTAACCAACTGAGCCACCCAGGCACCCCTACTTTTTATTATTAATATTATGGGGAAATGTAGCATTTTTCCAGTTTTATTTCAAATTTTTCTTCAGTTTGACTATGCTCCTTAGTAAAATTCCATTTCTCAATTTTTGATACAAACAGTATACCACCAAAAAGACTATTTAATGACATTTTGCATTCCCATGTGAAGTCACAAAGCTGAGAATAGGTATTTATGCCAATTTAAACACTGTAAGTTATATTATTACAACCTTCAATAGTGAACTTAATATCATTATTATCTGAATTTATAAATGAGGTTCTGAAGCATTAAGAAACTTTAGTATTTACCAGTGATAAAGTTCTTTGATCACATCTACACAATTGGAATTTATAATAACCAAGAACTCCTTATTTGTTGTTAAGATACTTCTATCCTATTCCTGGAAAAGAACTTCAGCAAATTATGAAACAAATATTTCTGTCATCTGTTGGGTAAGTTATTTGGTTTAACTGGAATCATATTTGATTTGGAAATATGGCTTTGTGTTTTAGTCTCCTGCATCTTCTGCTCCATTCTTATACCTGCAACCTTCTGAGGTTATTTATCAACCGGTGGAAATGGCACAAGATGGTGGATGTGTCCCTCCTCCACTGTCTCTGATGGAAGCCTCAGTTCCAGAGGTATGTATTAGTCTCAAAGTAAATTATCTATAACTACCTCATCGTTATATTTTATTTCTTTTTCTTTTCTAAAGATATTTAAGACCCTCATAGAAGCTGCATATCTTTTTTCTTTGATTTATTCACATCTTTTCCTCTTTAATATCTAAGAATGCTCCAACTTAGACTTCTTCATTAACTAGTTCTGAACCATTTCTGAAATTAGCTGTTCACTGTACTAGGCTAATCCCTGACTTGATCTCCTTGAAAGAGTAAGGTACCAAATACTTCTCTTTCTTTTGGTTTGCCTGTCAATCTGTATTGTTACTAACATTCTGTCAATTAAAAGCATATAAAAATTAAAGAAGAAAATAATCGAAAAAAAATCTTCCTTTAAAATGTAAATCAAAATACTTCATAACTACAAATTGTAAATATCATGTTCAGTGTCTTTAAACTACATTTCCAAATCATTACTTACCTTACCATCTATGGGCCAGGAACTGTACAGGTATGTTTTAAATCAGTGTTATGAAAGATTAGAAAATTAACACCCACCTCCCAATTAGAGTGTATTATATTACTTTTTTATATTACTAATGTTTATAACATTATGATGACATTCTGGAACAATAATTTCCACAATTGGATCTTAATGTTACTATCACTACTTCTACTAGGATTTCTCCATTTTTCATCTTACCCTCCATCACCTGGTTGACTGAATCTTCAAGAACTCATTGTTAAAGAAAGCTTGTGGTTGTTACATTCTATTAAGAGATTTCTTACATACTTGTTTGTTGAATATTGTTGTCTATAAATCTGAAAGACAGTTACACTAGCTATAAAATAGCTACATCATACTGCCAGAACAAAGTACAACAAATTATGGCTTAAACAACAGACATTTATTGTCTTAGAGTTCTAGAGACTCAAAGTTGAAGACCAAGATGTTGGCAGGATTGGTTCAGTCTGAGGGCCATGAGGGAAGCATTTGTTTCAGGCTTCTCTTCTTAACTTGTAGATGGCCATCTTTCCCCTGTGTCTTCACATTATCTTTGTCTGTGTCTCTGTGTCCAAATTTCTCGATTCTGTGAGGATAGCAGTCATACTGGATTAGGTTCCACCTTAATGACCATTTAACTTGATTATCTCTATAAATATCCTGTCTACAAATAAGGTCACGCTCTGATGTACTAGAGGTTAGGACTTCAAAACAGAAGTTTTGAGGGAACACAATTCAACCCTTAACAACACTATTTAATTATAGAACTTCCGGTGTACTCTTCTCTGGTGTTAAGAAGTTTGAAGCCAGCCTGATTTTCTCCCTGGTACATAATTTGCTTTTTCTTCTTGCATACCTGGAGAAGTGAGGTGTGTTCTTAGTTGTCTTTGTACATATTATTCCTATCTTCTTTCCCTAATTCTTCAAATTCAAGCATCAATTCCACTAGAAAACTTTTCCTGACTACCTCCCTGACTTTCTTAAGCTAAATCAAGTAGTTCTTTTCTTTTCTCCTATACGTTTCATAGGATTTATGGTAATTTTGGCTACTCAGCTATCCCCAATCAGTCTATAAATTAATTAAAGATAGAGAGTGTGTTTTTCATTTGTGTTCCTCTATTAGGTAGCAAAATTCCTGTACATTGTAATGCTGAATAAATATTTTGAATTAATAAATGAAAGGCAATAATTTTTTTTTCTTTTTTTGTTAACAGCCTTATTCTGATCATGGAGTTCAAGCAACATATCACCAGGTTTATGCTCCAAGTGCCATCGCTATGCCTACACCTGTGATGCAGCCTGAGCCAATTAAAGTAAGAAGTTTGTTTTGATTTTTTGGTGTTTTTTCAGTCATTTCAAGTTTTTCAAATTTATTTTCTGAAAAGGAACAACTTTGGATATTTAGATCACATTTGTGATCAGAAGAACAGAATTAATGAACTTTTTCATGTGAAGGATGTACAATTCTAAATTATAATTTTTATTTATTATTTTTGAACACGTTATAAACCATACATGGTCAAAAATGTTTTATTTACTGTAGTAAAATACATATAACTTAAAATTTGCCATTTTAAGTGTACACCTAAGTGTTAATTAATTACATCCACAATGCCGTGCAACCATTACCACTATCTATTTCCACACTTTTTCATTACCCCAAATAGAAAATCTGTACCCATGAAGCAATAACTTCCAATTCTTCTCTCCCTACAAATCCCTGGTAACCTCTAATCTATTTTTTGTCTCACTGAATTTGCCTATATATTTCATATACTCAGATTTTGGTTATGTGTGTTAATGGAATGTGGCATTTATATGGGGAGATAAAAACAGTTAACAATCTATTCAGCTAGTTTGGGAACTGCTCATGCATCCTAAATCAGATGCATGCCAAAGAGTGGGAATCTAGTTAGATGCATGGATATACTCAATATATTTCAACTAAATTCTTCTTATTCCCTTATGACCTTCAATAAAAGTTTCTTATTGAAACTCTTCATCATTACTTGGGGGAATTGGGACTACATCTCTAAGTGAAGAATCACAGATTGATTAATTCTTGTGATGGTAATATGAATCTTGCTTGCAGTGTACTTTGGTAAGGAATGTAGGTATATTCTATGACAAAATGATGGAGATTAGCTATTTCACAGTCATATTTATGCTTCTGAGCCATCCCATGTGTTAGAACTTGGTACCAAGACAGTCTACTTTAAGGAGCCTCCCACTCTCTCATATCCCCTCATCCCATTACCACTCACTGCATCCCTTCACTGCTATTACTACTGTACTGTACACATGAAGTAAAACCATAATGGTGACCTAGTGTCAAAGCCTAGAGTGTTCCTAAACTTTATTTATAGAGTTATTATACTATCAAAATTTTCTAAAACAGATTTCCTCTGGTGTTAACATTTTCTCCTAATATACTTCTCTAGGAATAGCTGAAAGAGCTTTGCCATATTAAGCAAGTACTAATTACTTTCAGTTACTGATCATATACACTATATATATAAACACAAAGGATTGAAGTTTTACTGCTTGAGTGGTACTATAAGAAATTTCCAAAGAATGTTAATGTTACACATTCTTTTTTTTTTTTTTTTTAAGTTTCTTTGTTTACTTAGAGAGAGAGCGCTAGCTGGGCAGGGGCAGAGAGAGGGGGAGAGAGAGAGAGAATAGAATACCAAGCAGGCTCCACACTGCCAGTGCAGAGCCTGATGTGGGGCTCAAACTCACACACCGTGAGATCATGACCTGAGCCAAAATCTAGAGTCAGACACTTAACCGACTGAGCTACACAGGCACCCCTAATGTTACACATGCTAATTTAAAGTTTAATTCCTCTAGTTTAAGAGTAAACACTTTTCTACATTTTCTTAAATCTATGAATAGGAAATGAAAGAAGTTATACAGAGAAACTAGTATCTTACTCCTTAGTCACATAAAAAGTACATTTATGTTGCATATAAATCATAACAGAGTCATGAAAAGGTAGGTGTCTTCTCTTTTTTCATATATAAGCCTAAAACTGGAATCAGTAACCTGTCTCTTCATGTTTAAAGAAATGCTGCTAGAAGGAACTTTCCCCGTTCTATCCTGATGCAGATCTTTGCTTTACTATGCCACAGGCCAAAGGGGAAGAAAACTACTGACTTGTTTCAATTTAATCTGTCTCATTAAGGGTTATAATAATTCTGGTTATCACATGGGATGCATCCTAGAGAATGTTTTAGTCCTATTCAAATTAAGATTTAAGGATTAGGGAAGAATTGAAGAGCTATGAACTATGCTTAACTAGCTTACTCCAAAACCCATCATGTGTCACACAACCTAGTATCAGATTTCATTGAATCTGCAACATCATGGGTTATAAGACACACCATTCTTTATCACCATGAAGGAAAAAAACATTGCCATCAATTGTAAACGTATCCTTACTCAGAGGTTTTGAAGTATGAAATGCTTTAAGGAATGCAATGTCTCAGTATCAGTGGAATTTAACCTTTTATACTTAGAGATACAAAGTTAAGAGGGATGGGGAAGAAACCCAAAAATCCTCTTTTGTTAGAGATGAGGAAAAAAAGAAAGTTTAATTTAATAAACTTTAAAAGTCAAAACTGAAACACAGGGCTATTGTATACAGTTTTATATTTCCGGTTTTTATTTTTTAAGGTCTAATGTTCTGTGTATTTTATACCCAATAATTTTCTTAGGTGATTTGATGGCCCTCAATAGAAAATGCTACCCCACCTAGGGACAGAAACTCTAAAAACACTCCCATAGTTTTCTAAAACTATACAATCCTATAGAAATGCTTTAATATTCAAGGTTTACCGTATGGAAAATTATCTCCTGTTGTTTATAGTACATTTGTATTATAACATAGAAGTCTTAATACACAACTGTTATTAGTTGATGATCTTTTCCTAAAACATATTAAGTACACTAATATTAAAATATTGACATTTGAAACATTAGCCTTCGTTCTTATTATGCAAATTTTCTCTGGTGTACCAAATAGCTTGATGAGTTAAAAGAAAATGGTAGAAATATTCCTTAGAATAATGTGAGCTCGGGGTGCCTGGGTGGCTCAGTCGGTTGAGCTTCCGGCTTCGGCTCGGGTCATGATCTCACAGTTTGTGGGTTCGAGCCCTGCATCGGGCTCTGTGCGGACGGCTCAGAGCCTGGAGCCTGCTTCAGATTCTCTGTCTCCCTCTCTCTCTGCTCCTCCCCCACTCATGCTCTGTCTCTCTCCTTCAAAAATAAATAAAAACATTACCAAAAAATGTTTTAAAAAAGAATAATTTGAGCTCTAATGATTATAATTTTAAGGGTGTTAACTGGATATATTCCAAAGTAGCAATTTCAGATGTCAAAACTATCTTGAAGCATCAAATCTAATCAATAAAATAGAGACCTTATTCAGGGCTCAGAGGACAGGTCTAACGACTGTAAAAGACTGTTTGCTAGAAATCACTCATTGACTGTAAGGCACACGCTACTACCAATATAGAAATACCAATATAGAAACTACTAGATGAATAAGGTATTAATTAGGGTATCATTTTTTAATTCAGCAGAGCCACATCTTATACATAACTGAATTTGGAAGTCAATAAAGCAAATCACAGAATGTCAAAATTAGCCCATTGAGCTAGACTACAGGAAAAAACAAAAGGAAAATCTTTGTGTATCTGGGGATTTGAACTATTATGCTTTTAAGATCAGTATCAAATCCCAGGGTAAGAAATGTGTAAGTGGAAAATTATGAAGTGTTTATGTTTTACAGTTTTTCCATTTTTGCATTAATATGTGTCCAATAAATTTGTTATGAGGATTAATTGAAATACTAGAAACTGGGGAAATTATAGTTTTAAGTTCACCTTTAAATTAAATGTTCATTTTATTTAATTCCAATGTATAATAGCTATTCATGAAAATATTTTAAATTTTTTTTTTTCAACGTTCATTCATTTTTGGGACAGAGAGAGACAGAGCATGAATGGGGGAGGGGCAGAGAGAGAGGGAGACACAGAATCGGAAACAGGCTCCAGGCTCTGAGCCATCAGCCCAGAGCCCGACGCGGGGCTCGAACTCACGGACCGCGAGATCGTGACCTGGCTGAAGTCGGACGCTTAACCGACTGCGCCACCCAGGCGCCCCGAAAATATTTAATGTTAATAATATTTAACTATTTGCCAGCCTATGAGGAATTTCTTCTTCTTCTTTTTTTAATGGTTATTTATTTTTCCTGTGCCAGTACCATACTGTCTTAATGAGTACAGCTTTGTAGTATAGCTTGAAGTCTGGGATTGTGATGCCTTCTGCTTTGGTTTTCTTTTTCAAGATTGCTTTGGCTAGTCGGGGTCTTTTCTGTTTCCATACAAATTTTAGGATTATTTGTTCTAGCTCTGTGAAGAATGCTGGTGTTAGTTTCATAGGGATTGCATTGAATATGTAGATTGCTTTGGGTAGTACCGACATTTTAACAATATTTGTTCTTCTTATCCAGGAGCATGGAATCTTTTTCCATTTTTTTGTGTGTCTTCTTCAATTTCTCTCATAAGCTTTCTGTAGTTTTCAGTATATAGATTTTTCACCTCTTTGGTGAGATTTATTCCTAGGTATTTTGTGGTTTTTGGTGCAACTGTAAATGGGATCAATTCCTTGATTTCTCTTTCTGTCGCTTCATTGTTGGTGTATAGGAATGCAACCGATGTCTGTGTGTTGATTTTATATCCTGCAACTTTGCTGAATTCATGAATCAATTCTAGTTTTTTGGTGGGATCTTTTGGGTATTCCATATAGAGTATCATGTCATCTATGAAGAGTGAAAGTTTGACCTCCTCCTGGCTGATTTGGAGTTGTCTGATTGCAGAGGCTAAGACTTCCAATACTATGTTGAATAACAGTGGCGACAGTGGACATCCCTGTCGCGTTCCTAACCTTAGGGGGAAAGCTCTCAGTTTTTCCCCATTGAGGATGATATTAGCATTGAGTCATTCATATATGGCTTTTATGATCTCTAGGTATGCTCCTTCTATCCCTACTTTCTTGAGGGTTTTTAACAAGAAAGGATGATGTATTTTGTCAAATGCTTTCACTGCATCTATTGAGAGGATTATGTGGTTCTTGTCCTTTTATTGATGTGATGAATCATGTTAATTGTTTTGCGTATATCGAACCAGCCCTGCATCCCAGGTATAAATCCCACTTGGTTGTGGTGAATAATTTTTTTAATGTGTTGTTGCATCTAGTTGGCTAATATCTTGTTGAGGATATTTGCATCCATTTTCATCAGGGAAAT